CAGTTGACCTTTTCTTGACAAACGGTAGGAGCTTACTATAGCAACGGGAAAGGAATGCCGGTGTACAATTAGTTGCACGTATATATTTCCTTTTCTTTTCTTGGTGCTTTTATGCGCAACTTGAGTTTTATAGTGACCATTTGTGTACATTTATGTTTTCTGGAAATAAAATGAATAAAACAGACGATGAATGAAGCAAAGCATGTTTTAATGTGTCTTTGTCATGAGATATCAGATAATAGAGATAATATCCGATGAAACATTTCTGTTAGTGCAATTAGAATTATTCTGATAAGTCTCACAGTGAAGAGAAAGGATTACGATGAGAAAACTGAAGATAATCTACTGTGTCTGAAATTGACTAATGCACAGGTAACCTTTTGAACATTCTGCAGTTTTTGGAACTTATCCGTTATGCCTCTGTTTTTACAAAATAAAAACTACAAAACATAACAAAGTAATGTGACACATAGCAACAAAAACTACAAAATATGTCGAAAAGGTAATTTTTTACATAAAATTGATATAAAAACAAATCGATTTTTCGTACTCAATTAATTTTAATTGGATAATTGTCATTTGATAACAAATTAATATTTTGATCCTAAAAACAAGAAAATGAAGAAATCCTTGGTGGTGAAGAGATATGCGAAAGCCAGTTCAATATTGTCTATTTTAAGTGATATTGCATGGTTCAAAGTTCTTGACACTCAGTAGCACTTTTATTATACGTTCGTTTCTGTTACGAAAAAAAGTCATTAGCTTTTCGATATTTCCTGATGGTTTCACTTTGATTTATATACGTACCTTGTATGAAATTCTTGTTGTTTTTTCATGTGGCTCAATAGCTAAATATGAGTAACTTCTGCATTTACATTTGGCAAACTTCAAAATCAGCCAACTATATGTTTCTATGCAGATGTATTCGAATATGACCCCACTGTAATATTACGAAAATTTTCGAAACAATACTAAACATTTTTCGTATATTCTTAATCAAAGGACAAATGATTGGGAGAATCTTAGCCGTGTGACGATTTTTTGCAAAATTTTTTATTCATTTAGCCGGTGAAAAAGAAATATTTTCGACTATTGGGAGGATGTCGCCCTCCGGATTCGTCGTTGATCGCGATAACCCCTGGGTATGTGTACGTACATGAAATGTGAGAAACTTATTCAAATGAAAATATTAGTTAAAAAATAAACTTTATCAAGGACAAAAGATCACAAGCGATGATCTAATTCTATGTTGCATGAATACGAAATCTTGCTTGTTTAGATTCTTTAAATCTTTTCTACAAGTATCATATCAAGTGCTATGCTGCAGTAAAAAGGAGTTAGACAAATTTTGGGTAATGAATGGTTTGTGATTGTCTAACTATTTAAGGTATTAATGGCAAGTCAACCAAGTTAATTCTTGTATTTATTCCCAACGCTGCGATAATGTCTCCTGTTAAATGCTTGCCAAAGTTATACATGTTAACCTAATGATAAACATGTATAACCCCGCTTCATCAGGCAGCATTTCAAAATTTTTGCCGTTCTCTCTGCCGCTCTGCCGCGGCACAACGGATTTATTTTAATGATATTTCGATAATGTGGCACAATGAAATGAGTTTTCTGGAAAACTGGTGAACGGCAATATTTGAAAACTTGAACAGTTTTCAATCAGTTCTGAAAATACCAAGCCTTAGCGACTTTTAGTTTTTATTTCACAGCATTTCCACGGATAGCCCTAAAAGAGGGGAGGGGTACCCTTAAAATGTGCTTTTGTTTTTGACAGTTTTTACTAAGACAACATACACCCATTGGAACTTTTAAATATTTTTAAATTAATGCAAACTAATTTCTGACCCAAAAAAAAGATGACAAATTACTTTACATCAATTCAAATAGCCAAATTAGTTTAAATTCGTTTGTAGGAAATTAATTTACATCTCACAATTAAAATCAACTAGAACTAATGTCTAGGCTAAAATTAGCTCGAATCAGTTTGCAAAAACCTTTGATTAAATTAGTTTTAACTAAACTGGTTTAAATTAATTTATTTCGAACTCATTCGAAATAATTTCGTGCTTTAAATTGATTCAAATTGATTTCTATTCTCACATTCATTTAAATAAATGTTTTTGTAATAGATTTCGAATAAGTTTTGATAATATAAATTAGTATTAATTAAATGTTCAGAGCCGAAATTAATGTAGATACGTTTAAAATAATCAGCATTAATTTGAATTAATTCGAAGGATAAGAATATTTCGGATTCATTTGAAATACATCACTTTAAACTAATTTCAACTATCAAATTTATTTAAATTCAACAAAATCTTTCCTTTATCAACCAAATGTATATATTCGATCGAGAAAGAAGTGATCAGAGGTATTTATTGCATCACGAGCTTTTGTCCAGACCTGCAAGAACAAGGTAAAATTATAGCATTATCAGACTATAAAACATGGCTTCTTTTAAATTGTGGCATTACAACGCTATAGATTTATCTCATTACAGCGCAATAGACGTAACCCCTTGTGTTACAACGCGTTGCAAACATATTTTTGAGAAATTTATGGTTTTGTAACTGGATAAAAATTTTCATTGTATTACAACTCTATAAATTTATAGCATTATAATGTCTGCGTCTCAATTTTTATTTCATTACAACGCCTGATTGATTCAATTGCCTGATTGAATCTGGATCGGCTCATGATTACACTCTAAAAAAAAATGCGACTTCTAGGAAGACACATAAGTCGGATCCCAAAAAGCCGCATTGTAGTGTCTTCTCTGAAGACACATGATGTGACTTTACCTGGCAGTCACTTTATACCGTCTTCGTTGAACCACACAGGCACATTAGTTTTTAGTCTTATTAGCCTCTTACGTTGACATTTCGTGTAGGACCTTGATTAAAAACAGACACATGGAAGGCGGAATAATGTGACTACTAAGCGTCTTTCTCGTTCACACGTCTTCCATGTGACTCCAATGTGACTTCTATATGCCTACTAGTAGACACATTGAAGACATATAGAAAGGCACCTATTATTTTGAAGGCGCAATATAGTCACATGCAAGACACTTTTCTCTCAGTGTTCTTCAATTTCTTGTTGTAAAACACCAGAAATATCCTTGATTGAAAAATCAGTTGTGAGAATTACTGGCTTTGAATCGTCTGGGAAATGTAAAAATAATGGTTTTTGTACCAACAGTTTCTTCAGTTGTTTGAAAGCATGACTTTGTTCATATTTTCATTTGAACTTGTGTTTGTTTGCTTTGGTTAAATTAGTCACAGCGTGAATTGGTACAGCAACTCTGGCAAATGTTGGAATAAATTTTCTGTAAAATGCCAAACTTCCAACAAATTCATTTGCTTGTTTGAGAGATTTTGGCTCTGCCAGATTCAGAATTGCTTGCATTTTTTCATTCAATGGCTGTATGCCATTGGATGATATTCTGTGATCTAAATAATCAATTTCTTGTTTGGCAATTTCACATTTGATGGTGGTGAGGTGAAGATTGTTTTGTTGTAATAAATTCAGAAGGTTTGTAGATGTTGACAATGTTCACTGAACGATTTGGAATAAATAATTATATCATCAAGGTAAACCAACCAATGAATGTTTGCCAATGCATCGTTCCGAAATTTTTGACATAATTCGTTGAAACGATGGTGGAGCATTCTTAAGGCCCTGGGGAAGGACATTCCATTGATATAATTTTCCGAAAGCACTGAATGCCGTCTTATGACGATCTTGTTTGTCAATTGGAAATTACCAGAAACCTGATTTTAAATCAAGTTTTGAAAAATAATGATTTTTTCCATTACCAAGTTCTTGGATAGTTTCTTCCATATTGGGTAAATCATATCCATCCTTTATTGTAGTATCATTCAATCTTTTGTAATTCATTACTAGATGATGACCACCACTGGATTTGCTAACCAAAAGAGCAGGTGATTTGTATTGGGAATGAGATTCACTAATTTGTCCAGCTGCCAACAATTCTTTGATAATCTTTTCCAAAGTCACTTTTTTCTCGCCATAATATGGATATTGCTTATCAAATGGTGGTGATTGATTATCTTTTGTATTGATCGTATGAAAAAGTGTTGTTATTGCAACTGTTGGCTTCGAATTATCAAATGGTTTCTTGTTATTGAGTAAAGCATTTTTTAACATTGAATGTTGGTTCTTTTCATGGATATGTTTAATGAGGTGATCGATTTTTCCTTCTGTTGTTAAATTTTCTGAAAGTTGCTGTTCAATGTGATTGATTACTGGTGTTGTAGAAAAATCGGGATCATCTGTTGATAGCCGAACAGTTCCTAAAATAATTCCTTTTGATAAATATTGTGAATATGGTGATGGGTTGTACAAGGGGATTGTGATTATATGATGATGTACATTGATCAGAGAATTAGCCATTAACAGTGGAATTTGCTGGTTTAAATTGAATGATGGTTTGAAAATTACAGTTGCTTTTGAGATTCCCGTTGACACATTAACTGAATATTCTTCATATGAAGAGATAATAACAGAATTAATAAGACGAACGGACAGTCGAAGATTTTCTGGATTTTTGTCCAACGAAACTGTGGTTGTAGTGTTGTTAATGGTGATCGAAATAGATTTTGAGCCCGCATCAATACTCATTTTATATTTGTTGATATAATCCGTTCTCAACAAACATTCCACACTAAGATGCTTGACTACCAATGCTTGAATTGTTGTAACAGTTGATCTTAATTTAATTTCTAATTCCACTTTTCCAATAACTTCTAAAGGCGAATATCCATCTGCTAGAGTTAATTTTTGATGATTTCTATTGATGAATTTTTTGTGTTTTGTTTGTCGACGAGTTCGTTCAGTGATAATTGAATTAGTTGCTCCGGTATCAATCATTATTCTCATGTTCTTGTTGTTGACAGCTGTTGTGATGAACATTAATGATGGTTTTTTGATGGTAAATAATTCGGAGGCATTACCATCTGATGCATCCACTACTGGAAATCCTGACCTCCTCGTTGCTGATTTTGATAACGAGGAACACGATGATGTTCATAATGATTTTGGTTATATTGTGGTTGATGAGAATATGATTGCCGATTTCTATTATCTTGCTGATTCTGAGTTGTTGATTGGTTAGAATTTGGCCATCTGTGATTTGAGGAAGATTGATGATTAGGTGTTGTAGTAAACTGTGCTGTTGAATGAAATCCAGCATTTCTTGATGTGATTGGTTGAATAGCTGATGGAGTTACTGTTGTTATTGATTCAGTTTCTGTTAAATACCTGTTTCTTCGTTGATCGTTCTCTTTTAATTTTTGTAAATCTTCAAATCTCTTAGCAATATCAAGAAATTGTGCTGTTGTTTTTGGTTGCTTTTTATATATTTCATATTTCAATGAATTATTCATGTTTGATATTAAATAATTAACTTTCAGTGTTTCTTCCATGGATGGATCAACTTCTTTCAGTAATTTTATCATTTCATTATAATATTGTGTGATGGTTTGATGTATTGTTTGGTGGTAATCTTTTAGCCTTTGAAATGCTTGAATGTCCGAATATGTTGATGTAAATTGTTTTATAATTTGTCCTTTAAACGATGACCATGATATTATTCTAGATGAATTTTCGGTTAAATCAATCGTTTGCTTCACCATCCAAAAATGTTGAAACATATTTCAATCTCAAGTCTTCTGGTCATGAATTTGCTTGCATTTTATATTCTAAGTCATCCGGCCATGCTTTAACATTTTGTTTTCCACCACCAAATTTTTTCCGATTCTTGACTAAGTCATCTAAAAGAGCTGATTAGACCATTGTTTCTAAATGAATTGATGATGGGTATGATGAAACTTGAAACTGTGAAGTGGACGACGCTGACCAATGATGGGCAGATGTTGATGATGACTCAATTGCAGTTGGTTTATTATCGATGACTAATGATGTACTAGTTGCTGTCGTTGATGTTGGTATGACAGTTGCTAATTGTGTGTTTGGTGTGGAAATTCCTGGATTTGTAACACGATGAAATTGCGAAACTGTGGTATTTTGTAATTGTGAAATTATGGAATTTGACAGTTGTGGATTAATGGAATCATGAAGTTGTGAAAATGAGGGGTTTTTCATAGTTTCTAATGATGCAATTGTTGC